GAGGGAGTCTCAGGTGTGAGTGAGTCTCGGGTGTGAGTCTCAGGTGTGAGTCTCAGGTGTGAGTCTCAGGTGTGAGTGAGTCTCAGGTGTGAGTCTCAGGTGTGAGTGAGTCTCAGGTGTGAGTCTCAGGTGTGAGTCTCAGGTGTGAGTCTCAGGTGTGAGTGAGTCTCAGGTGTGAGTGAGTCTCAGGTGTGAGTCTCAGGTGTGAGTGAGTCTCAGGTGTGAGTCTCAGGTGTGAGTGAGTCTCAGGTGTGAGTCTCAGGTGTGAGTGAGTGTCAGGTGTGAGTGAGTCTCAGGTGTGAGTCTCAGGTGTGAGTCTCAGGTGTGAGTGAGTCTCAGGTGTGAGTCTCAGGTGTGAGTGAGTCTCAGGTGTGAGTCTCAGGTGTGAGTGAGTCTCAGGTGTGAGTCTCAGGTGTGAGTCTCAGGTGTGAGTCTCAGGTGTGAGTGAGTCTCAGGTGTGAGTCTCAGGTGTGAGTCTCAGGTGTGAGTGAGTCTCAGGTGTGAGTGAGTCTCAGTTGTGAGTGAGTCTCAGGTGTGAGTCTCAGGTGTGAGTCTCAGGTGTGAGTCTCTGGTGTGAGTCTCAGGTGTGAGTGAGTCTCAGGTGTGAGTCTCAGGTGTGAGTCTCAGGTGTGAGTGAGTCTCAGGTGTGAGTCTCAGGTGTGAGTCTCAGGTGTGAGTGAGTCTCAGGTGTGAGTCTCAGGTGTGAGTGAGTCTCAGGTGTGATTGAGTCGCAGGTGTGAGTCTCAGGTGTGAGTGAGTCTCAGGTGTGAGTCTCAGGTGTGAGTGAGTCTCAGGTGTGAGTGAGTCTCAGGTGTGAGTGAGTCTCAGGTGTGAGTCTCAGGTGTGAGTCTCAGGTGTGAGTGAGTCACAGGTGTGAGTGAGTCTCAGGTGTGAGTCTCAGGTGTGAGTGAGTCTCAGGTGTGAGTCTCAGGTGTGAGTGAGACTCAGGTGTGAGTCTCAGGTGTGAGTCTCAGGTGTGAGTGAGTCTCAGGTGTGAGTGAGTCTCAGGTGTGAGTCTCAGGTGTGAGTGAGTCTCAGGTGTGAGTGAGTCTCAGGTGTGAGTCTCAGGAGTGAGTCTCAGGTGTGAGTGAGTCTCAGGTGTGAATGAGCCTCAGGTGTGAGTGAGTCTCAGGTGTGAGTCTCAGGTGTGAGTGAGTCTCAGGTGTGAGTCTCAGGTGTGAGTGAGCCTCAGGTGTGAGTGAGTCTCAGGTGTGAGTCTCAGGTGTGAGTCTCAGGTGAGAGTCTCAGGTGTGAGTCTCAGGTGTGAGTCTCAGGTGTGAGTCTCAGGTGTGAGTGAGTCTCAGGTGTGAGTGAGTCTCAGGTGTGAGTCCCAGGTGTGAGTGAGTCTCAGGTGTGAGGAGTCTCAGGTGTGGAGTCTCAGGTTGTGAGTCTCAGGTGTGAGTGAGTCTCAGGTGTGGTGAGTCTCAGGTGTGAGTCTCAGGTGGAGTGAGTCTCAGGTGTGAGTGGAGTCCTCAGGTGTGTGAGTCTCAGGTGTGAGTGAGTCTCAGGTGGTGAGTCTCAGGTGTGAGTCTCAGGTGTGAGTGAGTCTAGTGTGAGTCTCAGGTGTGAGTCTCAGGTTAGTGAGTCTCAGGTGTGAGTGAGTCTCAGGTGTGAGTCTCAGGTGTGAGTGAGTCTCAGGTGTGAGTTCTCAGGTGTGGAGTCTCAGGTAGTGAAGTGAGTCTCAGGTTGTGAGTCTCAGGTGTGAGTCTCAGGTGTGATGTAGTCTCAGGTGTTGAGTCTCTCAGGTGTGAGTCTCAGGTGTGAGTGAGTCTCAGGTGTGAGTCTCAGGTGTGAGTGAGTCTCGGTGTGAGTGAGTCTCAGGTGTGAGTCCAGGTGTGAGAGTGAGTCTCAGGTGTGAGTCTCAGGTGTGAGTGAGTCTCAGGTAGTGAGTCTCAGGGTGAGTGAGTCCAGTGAGTGAGTCTCAGGTGTGAGTGTCAGGTGTGAGGAGTCTCAGGTGTGAGTGAGCCTCAGGTGTGAGTCTCAGGTGTGAGTCTAGGTGTGAGTGAGTCTCAGGTGTGAGTGAGTCTCGGTGTGAGTCTCAGGTGTGAGTTCTCAGGTGTGAGTCTCAGGAGTGAGTCTCAGGGTGAGTCTGAGGTGTGGAGTGAGTCTCAGGTGTGAGTGAGTCTCAGGTGTGAGTCTCAGGTGTGAGTCTCAGGTGTGAGTCTCAGGAGGTGAGTCTCAGGGTGAGTGAGTCTCAGGTGTGAGTCTCAGGTGTGAGTGATTCTCAGGTGTGAGTGAGTCTCAGGTGTGAGTGAGTCCTCAGGATGTGAGTCTCAGGTGTGAGTGAGTCTCAGGTGTCTCAGTGTGAGGTGAGGTCTCAGGTGTGAGTCTCAGGGTGAGTGAGTCTCAGGTGTGAGTCTCAGGTGTGAGTCTCAGGTGTCAGTGAGTCTCAGGTGTGAGTCTCAGGTGTGAGTCTCAGGTGTGAGTGAGTCTCAGGTGTGAGTCTCAGGTGTGAGTGAGTCTCAGGTGTGATTGAGTCGCAGGTGTGAGTCTCAGGTGTGAGTGAGTCTCAGGTGTGATTGAGTCGCAGGTGTGAGTCTCAGGTGTGAGTGAGCCTCAGGTGTGAGTGAGTCTCAGGTGTGAGTCTCAGGTGTGAGTCTCAGGTGTGAGTGAGTCACAGGTGTGAGTGAGTCTCAGGTGTGAGTCTCAGGTGTGAGTGAGTCTCAGGTGTGAGTCTCAGGTGTGAGTGAGACTCAGGTGTGAGTCTCAGGTGTGAGTCTCAGGTGTGAGTGAGTCTCAGGTGTGAGTGAGTCTCAGGTGTGAGTCTCAGGTGTGAGTCTCAGGTGTGAGTGAGTCTCAGGTGTGAGTGAGTCTCAGGTGTGAGTCTCAGGTGTGAGTGAGTCTCAGGTGTGAGTCTCAGGAGTGAGTCTCAGGTGGGAGTCTCAGGTGTGAGTGAGTCTCAGGTGTGAGTCTCAGGTGTGAGTGAGTCTCAGGTGTGAGTCTCAGGTGTGAGTCTCAGGTGTGAGTCTCAGGTGTGAGTGAGTCTCAGGTGTGAGTGAGTCTCAGGTGTGAGTCTCAGGTGTGAGTGAGTCTCAGGTGTGAGTGAGTCTCAGGTGTGAGTCTCAGGTGTGAGTGAGTCTCAGGTGTGAGTGAGTCTCAGGTGTGAGTGAGTCACAGGTGTGAGTCTCAGGTGTGAGTGAGTCTCAGGTGTGAGTGAGTCTCAGGTGTGAGTGAGTCTCAGGTGTGAGTGAGCCTCAGGTGTGAGTCTCAGGTGTGAGTCTCAGGTGTGAGTCTCAGGTGTGAGTGAGTCTCAGGTGTGAGTGAGTCTCAGGTGTGAGTGAGTCTCAGGTGTGAGTCTCAGGTGTGAGTCTCAGGTGTGAGCCTCAGGTGTGAGTGAGTCTCAGGTGTGAGTCTCAGGTGTGAGTCTCAGGTGTGAGTGAGTCTCAGGTGTGAGTGAGTCTCAGGTGTGAGTGAGTCTCAGGTGTGAGTCTCAGGTGTGAGTCTCAGGTGTGAGTGAGTCTCAGGTGTGAGTCTCAGGTGTGAGTCTCAGGTGTGAGTGAGTCTCAGGTGTGAGTCTCAGGTGTGAGTGAGTCTCAGGTGTGAGTGAGTCTCAGGAGTGAGTCTCAGGTGTGAGTGAGTCTCAGGTGTGAGTGAGTCTCAGGTGTGAGTCTCAGGTGTGAGTGAGTCTCAGGTGTGAGACTCAGGTGTGAGTCTCAGGTGTGAGTCTCAGGTGTGAGTGAGTCTCAGGTGTGAGTCTCAGGTGTGAGTCTCAGGTGTGAGTCTCAGGTGTGAGTGAGTCTCAGGTGTGAGTGAGTCTCAGGTGTGAGTCTCAGGTGTGAGTGAGTCTCAGGTGTGAGTGAGTCTCAGGTGTGAGTCTCAGGAGTGAGTCTCAGGTAGGAGTCTCAGGTGTGAGTGAGTCTCAGGTGTGAGTCTCAGGTGTGAGTGAGTCTCAGGTGTGAGTCTCAGGTGTGAGTCTCAGGTGTGAGTCTCAGGTGTGAGTGAGTCTCAGGTGTGAGTGAGTCTCAGGTGTGAGTCTCAGGTGTGAGTGAGTCTCAGGTGTGAGTGAGTCTCAGGTGTGAGTGAGTCTCAGGTGTGAGTAAGTCTCAGGTGTGAGTCTCAGGTGTGAGTCTCAGGTGTGAGTGAGTCTCAGGTGTGAGTGAGTCTCAGGTGTGAGTCTCAGGTGTGAGTGAGTCTCAGGTGTGAGTCTCAGGTGTGAGTGAGTCTCAGGTGTGAGTGAGTCGCAGGTGTAGCTGTAAGCTCACGTTGGATGGAACACACCATGTCATTCAATAATGATGTTAATGATTTTGATTTAAAGCTTTCGTGACTGCAGTAATTCATATTCTTAGTTTTTTTGGTAAAGTCACGTTGAAGGGAAACAACAAAATAATAAAATATATATTCTTAGAAAAAACTAAGAATATGATGTTAATGATGTTAATGATGATGATGTTAATGGTGATGACGATTATTTATTTTAATGATGATGTTAATAATGATGTTGATGATGATGTCAATGATGATGTTAATGTTAATGATGATGTTAATGATGATGTTAATGATGATGATGTTAATGTTAAGGATGATGATGTTAATGATGATGATGTTAATGATGTTGTTAATGATGATGATGTTAATGGTGATGATGAGTATTTATTTTAATGATGATGTTAATAATGATGTTGATGATGATGCCAATGATAATGTTAATGATGATGATGTTAATGTTAATGATGATGATGTTAATGTTAATGATGATGATGTTAATGATGATGTTAATGATGATGATGTTGTTAATGATGATGATGATGTTGTTAATGATGATGATGTTAATGGTGATGATGATTATTTATTTTAATGATGATGTTAATAATGATATTGATGATGATGTAAATTATGATGTTGTTAATGATGATGATGATGATGTCAATGATGATGTTAATTATGATGTTAATTATGATGATGTTAATGATTATGATGTCAATGGTAATGATGTTGATGTCAATGATAATGTTGTTAATGATGATGATGATGACGTTAATGACGATGATGTTTCGCAGAGACCCTTCTGGACAGCACTCAGGAACTCTCCGAACTAGGATGGATCACAGACCCAGACACTGGGGTGAGACCCACAGACTCACCACACAGAGACTCATAGACTCACCTACAGAGACCCACAGACTCACCACACAGAGACCCACAGACTCACCACACAGAGACCCACAGACTCACCACACAGAGACCCACAGACTCACCACACAGAGACCCACAGACTCACCACACAGACTTACCACACAGAGACCCACCACACAGAGACCCACAGACTCACCACACAGAGACCCACAGACTCACCACACAGAGACCCACAGACTCACCACACAGAGACCCACAGACTCACCACACTGAGACCCACAGACTCACCACACAGAGACCCACAGACTCACCACACAGAGACCCACAGATTCACCACACAGAGACCCACAAACTCACCACACAGAGACCCACAGACTCATCTACAGACTCACCACACAGAGACCCACAGACTCACCACACAGAGACCCACAGACTCACCACACAGAGACCCACAGACTCACCACACAGAGACCCACAGACTCACCACACAGAGACCCACAGACTCACCACACAGAGACCCACAGACTCACCACACAGAGACCCACAGACTCACCACACAGAGACCCACAGACTCACCACACAGAGACCCACAGACTCACCACACAGAGACTCACAGACTCACCACACAGAGACCCACAGACTCACCACACAGAGACCCACAGACTCACCACACGGAGACCCACGGACTCACCACACAGAGACCCACACCACACAGAGACCCACAGACTCACCACACAGAGACCCACAGACTCACCACACAGAGACCCACAGACTCACCACACAGAGACCCACAGACTCACCACACAGAGACCCACAGACTCACCACACAGACTTACCACACAGAGACCCACCACACAGAGACCCACAGACTCACCACACAGAGACCCACAGACTCACCACACAGAGACCCACAGACTCACCACACAGAGACCCACAGACTCACCACACTGAGACCCACAGACTCACCACACAGAGACCCACAGACTCACCACACAGAGACCCACAGATTCACCACACAGAGACCCACAAACTCACCACACAGAGACCCACAGACTCATCTACAGACTCACCACACAGAGACCCACAGACTCACCACACAGAGACCCACAGACTCACCACACAGAGACCCACAGACTCACCACACAGAGACCCACAGACTCACCACACAGAGACCCACAGACTCACCACACAGAGACCCACAGACTCACCACACAGAGACCCACAGACTCACCACACAGAGACCCACAGACTCACCACACAGAGACCCACAGACTCACCACACAGAGACTCACAGACTCACCACACAGAGACCCACAGACTCACCACACAGAGACCCACAGACTCACCACACGGAGACCCACGGACTCACCACACAGAGACCCACACCACACAGAGACCCACAGACTCACCACACAGAGACCCACAGACTCACCACACACAGAGACCCACAGACTCACCACACAGAGACCCACAGACTCACCACACAGAGACCCACAGACTGACCACACAGAGACCCACAGACTCACCACACAGAGACCCACAGACTCACCACACAGAGACCCACAGACTCACCACACAGAGACCCACAGACTCACCACACACAAAGACCCACAGACTCACCACACAGAAACCCACAGACTCACCACACAGAGACCCACAGACTCACCACACAGAGACCCACAGACTCACCACACAGACTTACCACACAGAGACCCACCACACAGAGACCCACAGACTCACCACACAGAGACCCACAGACTCACCACACAGAGACCCACAGACTCACCACACAGAGACCCACAGACTCACCACACTGAGACCCACAGACTCACCACACAGAGACCCACAGACTCACCACACAGAGACCCACAGATTCACCACACAGAGACCCACAAACTCACCACACAGAGACCCACAGACTCATCTACAGACTCACCACACAGAGACCCACAGACTCACCACACAGAGACCCACAGACTCACCACACAGAGACCCACAGACTCACCACACAGAGACCCACAGACTCACCACACAGAGACCCACAGACTCACCACACAGAGACCCACAGACTCATCACACAGAGACCCACAGACTCACCACACAGAGACCCACAGACTCACCACACAGACACCACAGACTCACCACACAGAGACTCACAGACTCACCACACAGAGACCCACAGACTCACCACACAGAGACCCACAGACTCACCACACGGAGACCCACGGACTCACCACACAGAGACCCACACCACACAGAGACCCACAGACTCACCACACAGAGACCCACAGACTCACCACACACAGAGACCCACAGACTCACCCACAGACTCACCCACAGACTCACCACACAGAGACCCACAGACTCACCACACAGAGACCCACAGACTCACCACACAGAGACCCACAGACTCACCACACAGAGACCCACAGACTCACCACACACAAAGACCCACAGACTCACCACACAGAGACCCACAGACTCACCACACAGAGACCCACAGACTCACCACACAGAGACCCACAGACTCGCCACACAGAGACCCACAGACTCACCACACAGAGACCCACAGACTCACCACACAGAGACCCACAGACTCACCACACAGAGACCCACAGACTCACCACACAGAGACCCACAGACTCGCCACACAGAGACCCACAGACTCGCCACACAGAGACCCACAGACTCACCACACAGAGACCCACAGACTCACCACACAGAGACCCACAGACTCACCACACAGAGACCCACAGACTCACCACACAGAGACCCACAGACTCACCACACAGAGACCCACGGACTCACCACACAGAGACCCACACCACACAGAGACCCACAGACTCACCACACAGAGACCCACAGACTCACCACACACAGAGACCCACAGACTCACCACACAGAGACCCACAGACTCACCACACAGAGACCCACAGACTGACCACACAGAGACCCACAGACTCACCACACAGAGACCCACAGACTCACCACACAGAGACCCACAGACTCACCACACAGAGACCCACAGACTCACCACACACAAAGACCCACAGACTCACCACACAGAGACCCACAGACTCACCACACAGAGACCCACAGACTCACCACACAGAGACCCACAGACTCGCCACACAGAGACCCACAGACTCACCACACAGAGACCCACAGACTCACCACACAGAGACCCACAGACTCGCCACACAGAGACCCACAGACTCACCACACAGAGACCCACAGACTCGCCACACAGAGACCCACAGACTCGCCACACAGAGACCCACAGACTCACCACACAGAGACCCACAGACTCACCACACAGAGACCCACAGACTCACCACACACAAAGACCCACAGACTCACTACACAGAGACCCACAGACTCACCACACACAAAGACCCACAGACTCACCACACACAGAGACCCACAGACTCACCACACAGAGACCCACAGACTCACCACACACAGAGACCCACAGACTCACCACACAGAGACCCACAGACTCACCACACAGAGACCCACAGACTCACCACACAGAGACCCACAGATTCTTCACACAGAGACCTACAGACTCACCACAGAGACCCATAGACTCACCACACAGAGACCCACAGACTCACCACACAGAGACCCACAGACTCACCACAGAGACCCATAGACTCACCACACAGAGACCCACAGACTCACCACAGAGACCCACAGACTCACCACACAGAGACCCACAGACTCACCACACAGAGACCCATAGACTCACCACACAGAGACCCACAGACTCACCACACAGAGACCCACAGACTCACCACAGAGACCCATAGACTCACCACACAGAGACCCATAGACTCACCACAGAGACTCACAGACTCACCACAGAGACCCACAGACTCATCTACAGACTCACCACACAGACCCACAGACTCACCACACAGAGACCCACAGACTCACCACACAGAGACCCACAGACTCGCCACACAGACACCCACAGACTCACCACGCAGAGACCCACACCACACAGAGATCCATAGACTCACCACACAGACCCACACTCACCACACAGAGACCCACAAACTCACCACACAGAGACCCACAGACTCACCACAGACCCACAGACTCACCACACAGAGACCCACAGACTCACCACACAGAGACCCACAGACTCACCACACAGAGACCCACAGACTCACCACACAGAGACCCACAGACTCATCTACAGACTCACCACACAGAGACCCACAGACTCACCACACAGAGACCCACAGACTCAACACACAGAGCCCACAGACTCATCTACAAACTCACCACACAGAGACCCACAGACTCACCACACAGAGACCCACAGACTCATCTACAGACTCACCACACAGAGACCCACAGACTCACCACACAGAGACCCACAGACTCAACACACAGAGCCCACAGACTCATCTACAAACTCACCACACAGAGACCCACAGACTCACCACACAGAGACCCACATACTCACCACACACAAAGACCCACAGACTCACCACACAGAGACCCACGGACTCACCACACAGAGACCCACAGACTCACTACACACAGAGACCCACAGACTCACCACACAGAGACCCACGGACTCACCACACAGAGACCCACAGACTCACTACACACAGAGACCCACAGACTCACCACACAGAGACCCACAGACTCACCACACAGAGACCCACACAGAGACCCACAGACTCACCACACAGAGACCCACAGCCTCACCACACAGAGACCCACAGACTCACCACACAGAGACCCACAGACTCACCACACAGAGACCCACAGACTCACCACACAGAGACCCACAGACTCACCACACAGAGACCCACAGACTCACCACACAGAGACCCACAGACTCACCACACAGAGACCCACAGACTCACCACACAGAGACCCACAGACTCACCACACAGAGACCCACAGACTCACCACACAGAGACCCACAGACTCACCACACAGAGACCCACAGACTCACCACACAGAGACCCACAGATTCTTCACACAGAGACCTACAGACTCACCACAGAGACCCATAGACTCACCACACAGAGACCCACAGACTCACCACACAGAGACCCACAGACTCACCACAGAGACCCATAGACTCACCACACAGAGACCCACAGACTCACCACAGAGACCCACAGACTCACCACACAGAGACCCACAGACTCACCACACAGAGACCCATAGACTCACCACACAGAGACCCACAGACTCACCACACAGAGACCCACAGACTCACCACAGAGACCCATAGACTCACCACACAGAGACCCATAGACTCACCACAGAGACTCACAGACTCACCACAGAGACCCACAGACTCATCTACAGACTCACCACACAGACCCACAGACTCACCACACAGAGACCCACAGACTCACCACACAGAGACCCACAGACTCGCCACACAGACACCCACAGACTCACCACGCAGAGACCCACACCACACAGAGATCCATAGACTCACCACACAGACCCACACTCACCACACAGAGACCCACAAACTCACCACACAGAGACCCACAGACTCACCACAGACCCACAGACTCACCACACAGAGACCCACAGACTCACCACACAGAGACCCACAGACTCACCACACAGAGACCCACAGACTCACCACACAGAGACCCACAGACTCATCTACAGACTCACCACACAGAGACCCACAGACTCACCACACAGAGACCCACAGACTCAACACACAGAGCCCACAGACTCATCTACAAACTCACCACACAGAGACCCACAGACTCACCACACAGAGACCCACAGACTCATCTACAGACTCACCACACAGAGACCCACAGACTCACCACACAGAGACCCACAGACTCAACACACAGAGCCCACAGACTCATCTACAAACTCAACACACAGAGACCCACAGACTCACCACACAGAGACCCACATACTCACCACACACAAAGACCCACAGACTCACCACACAGAGACCCACGGACTCACCACACAGAGACCCACAGACTCACTACACACAGAGACCCACAGACTCACCACACAGAGACCCACAGACTCACTACACACAGAGACCCACAGACTCACCACACAGAGACCCACGGACTCACCACACAGAGACCCACAGACTCACTACACACAGAGACCCACAGACTCACCACACAGAGACCCACAGACTCACCACACAGAGACCCACACAGAGACCCACAGACTCACCACACAGAGACCCACAGCCTCACCACACAGAGACCCACAGACTCACCACACAGAGACCCACAGACTCACCACACAGAGACCCACAGACTCACCACACAGAGACCCACAGACTCACCACACAGAGACCCACAGACTCACCACACAGAGACCCACAGACTCACCACACAGAGACCCACAGACTCACCACACAGAGACCCACAGACTCACCACACAGAGACCCACAGACTCACTACACACAGAGACCCACAGACTCACCACACAGAGACCCACAGACTCACCACACAGAGACCCACAGACTCACCATACAGAAACCCATAGACTCACCACACACAAAGACCCACAGACTCACCACACAGAGACCCACAGACTCACCACACAGAGACCCACAGACTCACTCCTCACCTTTCCCCCCCCCACCACGCCCCGCTCCGCCCCAGTGGGAGGAGGTGAGCGGCTACGATGAGCACCTCAACATGGTGCGCACCTACCAGGTCTGCAACGTCTTCGCCGGTCCACCCACCGGGCCGCCGGCTTCCCCTCCCGGCACGGGCTCCTCCTCGCCATCTCCCCCGCCGGGCTCGGGCAAACACCGGCCGGCGGCGGTGGCGGCGGCCCGCGGCGGTGGCGGAGAAGCCGGAGGCGGGGACGGCGTGGCCCGTGAGGCACCAGCACCGGCGGAGGAGGCGGCGGAGGCGGCGGAGGCGGCGGAGGCGGCGGAGGCGGCGGCGCAGGAGAACTGGCTGGTGACGCCGGTGATCCGCCGCAGGGGCGCCCGCCGGGTGCTCGTGGACGTGCGCTTCACGGTGCGCGACTGCGCCACCATCCCCGGCGCCGGCTCCGGCTGCCAGGAGGCGCTTGCCGTGTTCGTCCGGGAGGAGGAGGAGGAGGAGGAGGCGGTGGAGGCGGTGGACGACGACGGAGGCGGCGGAGGCGGCGGAGGAGGCGGCGGAGGCGGCGGAGGCGGCGGAGGCGGAGGCAGAGGCGGCGGAGGAGGCGGCGGAGGCGGGGTGGCGGCCGGGCCGTCGCCGAGAGGTGAGGCGACACGTCGGCGGGGTCTCGCCTCGTCGCCGGCGGGCGATCCGGCAAGCCGTCGGCGTAGGTCGCCGGCCTCCCCCGCCCACCCCCCTGACGCTCCCCCCCACCCCCCCCCCCACCCCCCCCCCACCCACCCCCCCACCCCCACCCCCGCCCACAGACACCAACTGGCGTTCCTCTCCGTTCCCGCTCATCAAGATCGGCACCCTCCGCGTCTCCGAGCCCGCCAGCAGCTCCTCCGACGCGGACGCCGGCGAGGCCTTCGGCCTGGCCTCCCCGGCCGCCGCGGCCTTCAAGGGCGGTGGAGGGGCCTTAGGCACGGCTGGTCAAGGCCCGCCGGGAGGGCCGCAGCCGCGGCCGCGGCCGCGGCCGCGGCCGCCGCCTCGGCGCGAGAGACGCCGGGCGGAGTCGGCGGGCTCGCCTCGCCTCGCCCGCCGCGTGCTCGGCTACAGCGGCCTGTCGAGGCCGGCCTTCCGGCTGGCCTTCCTGGACCGCGGCGCCTGCGCGGCCGTGGTGGCCGTCCGCGTGCTCCAGCGCAAGTGCCCGAGGTCGGCGCGCTGGCTCGCCGTCTTCCCCGAGACGCCGGCCGGCTGGGCCGCCGGAGCCGGAGCCGGAGCCGGCGGCGGCGGCGGCGGTGGCCCAGCGGGCCGGCGGAGGGGCCCGGTGCGAGGAGTGAGAGGCGGTGGTGGCGCTGGCGTGGCGGAGGAGGAGGAGGAGGAGGAGGCGCAGGAGGAGGAGGAGGCGGTGGTGGTGGTGGTGGAGGAGGAGCAGGAGGAGGAGGAGGATGGTGAGGACCGGCAGGAGGAGGAGAAGGCGGCGCCGGTAGAGGAGAGGGGCGCCGGTGAGGGAGCCGGAGGAGCCGGCGGGCGACGCCGGGCGGGCGACTCGGTCCGGCGTCCGTCCAGTCGGGGGCTCGCGCCTGGAGGCGTCCAGTCTAGACGAGAGTCCCTCACTCACTCACTCACCCACTCACTCACTCACTCACCCACACACTCACTCACCCACTCACTCACTCACTCACCCACTCACTCACTCACTCACCCACCCACTCACTCACTCACCCACTCACTCACTCACTCACCCACCCACTCACTCACTCACTCACCCACTCACTCACTCACCCACTCACTCACTCACTCACCCACCCACCCACTCACTCACTCACCCACTCACTCACTCACTCCTTACCTACCTCTCTCCCTACCTCCTTGATTGGACTAGACCAGTGGTTCTTAACCTGGGTTCGATCGAACCCCAGGGGTTCGGTGAGTCGATCTCAGGGGTTCGGCAGAGCCCCCGCCACGGAGGTCCGGACACACTTGAATTATTGTGTAAATTTGTGATGACACACACGGCCCGCTTGGCCATCACTGGCTGCAGATGATCATGCTACACTGCTTGGCCAATCAGCGCTGCGGGGAATTTAGTGCGTACTCAGTAGTCAACGTGTGACTGTTGTTGTCGTACGTCGTGTGATTTCTTTAATATTTTATCCATACTAACTATGTCGGGCAAAAGAAGAAAGTGGTCGGACGAATATGTACAACATGGATTCTCATGTATCACGGAACGTGATGGGAGTGAGCGTCCTATCTGCATGATTTGCAACGCCAAGTTGAGTAACTCTAGTCTTGCACCGGCAAAACTAAAGGAACACTTCTTGAAGCTGCATGGAGACGGGGAATACAAGAACACAACACTTGCTGAATTCAGGGTGAAGAGAGCCAGATTCGATGAAAGGGCCACTCTGCCTGCTCTTGGATTTGTACCTGTTAACAAACCGATCCTGACAGCATCGTACGAAGTTGCTTACCTGATCGCAAAGCAGGGCAAGCCACACACCATTGGTGAAACACTTGTGAAACCAGCTGCATTAAAGATGGCGAATCTGATACTCGGAACAGCGGCCGAAGGTAAATTATCCCAAATTCCCCTTTCAAATGACACCGTCAGTGACAGAATAGAAGACATGAGTAAAGACATCTTGGCTCAAGTAGTCGCGGATCTGATTTCAAGCCCGGCAAAATTCAGCCTTCAACTCGACGAAACCACAGACGTTTCTGATCTAAGCCAGCTTGCTGTTTTTGTACGCTATGTGAAAGACGACATGATAAAAGAAGAGTTTTTATTTTGTAAGCCTCTTACAACAACAACGAAGGCAGCCGATGTGAAGAAGCTTGTGGATGACTTCTTCAGAGACAACAATCTTTCATGGGATATGGTTTCTGCAGTTTGTACGGACGGAGCTCCAGTCATGCTGGGAAGAAAGTCTGGTTTTGGTGCGCTAGTAAAGGCCGATGCACCACACATCATTGTGACGCATTGTATTCTGCACAGGCATGCGTTGGCAACAAAAACCTTACCTCCAAAAATGGCAGAAGTATTAAAAACTGTGGTGGAATGTGTGAACTATGTGCGAAAAAGTGCTCTGAGGCACCGCATCTTCAGTGAGCTGTGTAAAGAAATGGGCTCTGAATTTGAGGTACTTCTGCTCCATTCTAATATTCGGTGGTTATCCCGGGGACAGGTGCTGAATCGTGTTTTTGCCATGCGTGTGGAATTAGCCCTGTTTTTGCAAGAGCACCAACACTGCCATGCAGATTGCTTCAAAAATCCTGAGTTCATTCTCATTTTAGCGTACATGGCTGATATATTCGCAGCTCTCAATCATCTCAATCAGCAGATGCAGGGTGGTGGAGTCAATATCATGGAAGCGGAAGAACACCTGAAGGCTTTTCAAAAAAAGCTACCGTTATGGAAACGACGAACAGAGAACAATAACTTCGCAAACTTCCCGCTTCTGGACGACTGTGCAAGTAAGATCGAAGATGTGTCTGGAATCGGAGATATTTCTGTATCCACGGAACTGAAGCAAACAATTGCCACGCACTTAGATGAGCTTGCAAAGTCTCTCGACGGATATTTCCCTACAAGAGAGTCATATCCAGCATGGGTGAGACAGCCGTTCACGTTTGCTGTTGAAACAGCAGATGTCAATGATGAATTCCTCGACGAAATCATTGAAATTCAGCAGAGCCAGGTTCAACAGCAACTCTTCAGAACAACAACGCTCTCAACGTTTTGGTATCGACAAATGAACAAGTATCCAGTTATTGCTAAGAAAGCCCTGGATTTTTTTATACCATTTGTTACAACATATCTTTGTGAGCAATCCTTTTCGAGGATGCTGGACATAAAAACGAAGAAAAGGAACAGACTTTGCTGTGAAAATGACATGAGAGTGGCACTTGCCAAGGTGAAGCCACGCATATCTGAACTGATCTCTCAAAGGCAACAGCAGAAGTCACATTGATTTCCAGGTATGTAATTTGTTGTGAGTTTATGCATTGTGTTGGTTTTATTCTTTGAACAAGGTAATGTTCATGCACGGCTCATTTTGTGTACCAGTAAAAAACATATCTATGTCTTGAATTTGAAAAAAAATCACATTTTATTTTTCACTAAAGAGGGGTTCAGTGAATGCGCATATGAAACTGGTGGGGTTCGGTACCTCCAACAAGGTTAAGAACCACTGGACTAGACCCTATACTAGACCCTGTACTAGACCCTGTACTAGACCCTGTACTAGACCACGTGCTAGACCCTGTGTTAGACCCTGTGCTAGACCCTGTACTAGACCCTGTACTAGATCCTGTACTAGACCACGTACTAGACCCTGTGCTAGACCCTGTGCTAGACCCTGTGCTAGACCCTGTGCTAGATCCTGTACTAGACCACGTGCTAGACCACGTGCTAGACTCTCTACTAGACTCTGTATAGCAAATTGACTTCCTCACAAATCACTGCCCAGGTGGAGTTGGTGCTGCTGGTGGTGGTGGTGTAGGTGGTATAGACGATGATGGTGCTGGTGGTATAGGTGGTGCTGCTGGTGGTGGTGGTGTAGGTGGTGTAGGTGGCGCTGTTGGTGGTGTAGGTGGTGGTGTAGGTGGTGCTGGTGGTGTGGATGATGGTGTAGGTGGTGTAGGTGGTGGTGGAGGTGGTGTAGGTGGTGGTATTGACGATGATGGTGCTGGTGGTGTAGGTGGCGGTGTAGGTGGCGGTGTAGGAGGTGGTGGTGTAGGTGGCGGTGTAGGTGGTGGTGGTGTCGGTGGTGGTGTAGATGGTGGTGTAGGTGGTGGTGTAGGTGGCGGTGGTGTAGGTGGTGGTGTAGGAGGTGGTGGTGTAGGTGGCAGTGTAGGTGGTGGTGGTGTAGGTGGTGGTGTAGATGGTGGTGTCGGTGGCGGTGTAGGTGGCGGTGGTGTCGGTGGCGGTGTAGGTGATGGTGGTGTAGATGGTGGTGTAGATGGTGGTGTAGATGGTGGTGTAAGTGGTGGTGTAAGTGGTGGTGGTGTAGGTGGTGGTGGTGTAGGTGGTGTTGGTGGCGGTGGTGTCGGTGGTGGTGTAAGTCGTGGTGTAGGTGGCGGTGGTGTCGGTGGTGGTGTAGGTGCTGGTGGTGTAGGTGGCGGTGGTGTCGGTGGTGGTGTAGGTGCTGGTGGTGTAGGTGGTGGTGGTGTAGACGATGATGGTGCTGCTGCTGGTGCTGCGTTGTTGTTGTTGTTGTTGGTGCAGGCGGTGCTCCTGGTGCCGGTGTCCCCGGCGGCGTCCCCGGCGCCGGCGCCGGCGCCGGTGGCGGCGGTGGCTCCCTGGTGCGTGGTTCGTGCGTGCGACTGGCCGAGGAGTGGGGCCCGGTGCTTCGTCGCTGCACTCCCGAGGGGGCTTGGAGCGGCCCGGTGGGGCCCGGTCGCTGTGCCTGCAGCCCAGGGGCCAGCCCAGACCAGAGCCTCTCATCCTGCCAACGTGAGAACTGCCTCCCGCTACGTCCTGATACAGCCTGATACTACGTGATAATACTACTACTACTACCTGATACTACTACTACTACCTGATACTACTACTACCTGATACTACTACTACCTGATACTACTACCACCTGATACTACTACTACATCCTGATACTACTACTACCTGATACTACTGTGCCTGTAGTCCAGGGGCCAGCCCAGACCAGAGCCTCTCATCCTGCCAACGTGAGAACTGCCTCCCGCTACGTCCTGATACAGCCTGATACTACGTGATAATACTACTACTACTACCTGATACTACTACTACCTGATACTACTACTACCTGATACTACTACTACTACCTGATACTACTACTACCTGATACTACTACTACCTGATACTACTGTGCCTGCAGTCCAGGGGCCAGCCCAGACCAGAGCCTCTCATCCTGCCAACGTGAGAACTGCCTCCCGCTACGTCCTGATACAGCCTGATACTACGTGACAATACTACTACTACTACCTGATACTACTACTACCTGATACTACTACTACCTGATACTACTACTACCTGATACTACTACTACTACCTGATACTACTACTACCTGATACTACTACTACCTGATACTACTACTACTACCTGATACTACTACTACCTGATACTACTACTACCTGATACTACTACCTGATACTACTACTACCTGATACTACTACTACCTGATACTACTACTACCTGATACTACTACTACCTGATACTACTGTGCCTGTAGTCCAGGGGCCAGCCCAGACCAGAGCCTCTCATCCTGCCAACGTGAGAACTGCCTCCCGCTACTTCCTGATACAGCCTGATACTACGTGATAATACTACTACTACTACCTGATACTACTACTACCTGATTCTACTACTACCTGATACTACTACTACCTGATACTACTGTGCCTGCAGTCCAGGGGCCAGCCCAGACCAGAGCCTCTCATCCTGCCAACGTGAGAACTGCCTCCAGCTACGTCCTGATACAGCCTGATACTACGTGACAATACTACTACTACTACCTGATACTACTACTACCTGATACTACTACTACTACCTGATACTACTACTACCTGATACTACTACCACCTGATACTACTACTACATCCTGATACTACTACTACCTGATACTACTGTGCCTGTAGTCCAGGGGCCAGCCCAGACCAGAGCCTCTCATCCTGCCAACGTGAGAACTGCCTCCCGCTACGTCCTGATACAGCCTGATACTACGTGACAATACTACTACTACCTGATACTACTACTACCTGATACTACTACTACCTGATACTACTACTACCTGATACTACTACAGCCTGATTCTACTACTACTACCTGATACTACTACTACCTGATACTACTACTACCTGATACTACTACTACCTGATACTACTACTACCTGATACATCCTGATACTACGTGATAATACTACTACTACCTGATACTACTACTACCTGATACATCCTGATACTACGTGACAACACTACTACTACTACCTGATACTACTACTACTACTACCTGATACTACTACTACCTGATACTACTACTACTACCTGATACTACTACTACTACCTGATACTACTGTGCCTGCAGTCCAGGGGCCAGCCCAGACCAGAGCCTCTCATCCTGCCAACGTGAGAACTGCCTCCCGCTACTACCTGATACAGCCTGATACTACGTGATAATACTACTACTACCACCTGATACTACTACCACCTGATACTACTACTACATCCTGATACTACTACTACCTGATACTACTGTGCCTGCAGTCCAGGGGCCAGCCCAGACCAGAGCCTCTCATCCTGCCAACGTGAGAACTGCCTCCCGCTACGTCCTGATACAGCCTGATACTACGTGATAATACTACTACTACCTGATACTACTACTACCTGATACTACTACTACCTGATACTACTACAGCCTGATACTACTACTACTACCTGATACTAATACTACTACTACCTGATACTACTACTACCTGATACTACTGTGCCTGCAGTCCAGGGGCCAGCCCAGACCAGAGCCTCTCATCCTGCCAACGTGAGAACTGCCTCCCGCTACGTCCTGATACAGCCTGATACTACGTGACAATACTACTACCTGATACTACTACTACCTGATACTACTACTACCTGATACTACTACTACATCCTGATACTACTACTACTACCTGATACTACTGTGCCTGCAGTCCAGGGGCCAGCCCAGACCAGAGCCTCTCATCCTGCCAACGTGAGAACTGCCTCCCGCTACGTCCTGATACAGCCTGATACTACGTGACAATACTACTACCTGATACTACTACTACCTGATACTACTGTGCCTGTAGTCCAGGGGCCAGCCCAGACCAGAGCCTCTCATCCTGCCAACGTGAGAACTGCCTCCCGCTACGTCCTGATACAGCCTGATACTACGTGACAATACTACTACCTGATACTACTACTACCTGATACTACTGTGCCTGTAGTCCAGGGGCCAGCCCAGACCAGAGCCTCTCATCCTGCCAACGTGAGAACTGCCTCCCGCTACGTCCTGATACAGCCTGATACTACGTGACAATACTACTACTACCTGATACTACTACCACCTGATACTACGTGATAATACTACTACTACCTGATACTACTACAGCCTGATACTACTACAGCCTGATACTACTACAGCCTGATACTACTACTACTACTACCTGATACTACTACTACTACTACCTGATACTACTACTACCTGATACTACTACTACTACCTGATACTACTACCTGATACTACTACTACTACTACCTGATACTGCAACTACTTGATACTACTACTACCTGATACTACTACTACCTGATACTACTACTACTACCTGATACTACTACTACTACTACCTGATACTACTACTACCTGATACTACTACTACTACCTGATACTACTACTACCTGATACTACTACTACCTGATAATACTACTGCTACCTGATACTACTACTACCTGATACTACTACTACTACCTGATACTACTACTACCTGATACTACTGTGCCTGTAGTCCAGGGGCCAGCCCAGACCAGAGCCTCTCATCCTGCCAACGTGAGAACTGCCTCCCGCTACTACCTGATACAGCCTGATACTACGTGATAATAATACTACTACTACCTGATACTACTACTACCTGATACTACTACTACTACCTGATACTACTACTACTACTACCTGATACTACTACTACCTGATACTACTGTGCCTGTAGTCCAGGGGCCAGCCCAGACCAGAGCCTCTCATCCTGTCAACGTGAGAACTGCCTCCCGCTACTACCTGATACATCCTGATACTACGTGACAATACTACTACTACCTGATACTACTACTACCTGATACTACTACTGCCTGATACTACTACTACCTGATACTACTACTACCTGATACTACTACTACCTGATACTACTACTACATCCTGATACTACTGTGCCTGTAGTCCAGGGGCCAGCCCAGACCAGAGCCTCTCATCCTGCCAACGTGAGAACTGCCTCCCGCTACGTCCTGATACAGCCTGATACTACGTGACAATACTACTACTACCTGATAATACTACTACCTGATACTACTACCACCTGATACTACTACCACCTGATACTACTACTACATCCTGATACTACTGTGCCTGTAGTCCAGGGGCCAGCCCAGACCAGAGCCTCTCATCCTGCCAACGTGAGAACTGCCTCCCGCTACTTCCTGATACAGCCTGATACTACGTGACAATACTACTACTACTACCTGATACTACTACTACCTGATACTACTACTACCTGATACTACTACTACCTGATACTACTACTACCTGATACTACTGTGCCTGTAGCCCAGGGGCCAGCCCAGACCAGAGCCTCTCATCCTGCCAACGTGAGAACTGCCTCCAGCTACGTCCTGATACATCCTGATACTACGTGATAATACTACTACCTGATACTACTACTACCTGATACTACTACTACCTGATACTACTACTACCTGATACTACTACTACCTGATACTACTGTGCCTGTAGCCCAGGGGCCAGCCCAGACCAGAGCCTCTCATCCTGCCAACGTGAGAACTGCCTCCAGCTACGTCCTGATACATCCTGATACTACGTGATAATACTACTACCTGATACTACTACTACCTGATACTACTACTACCTGATACTACTACTACCTGATACTACTACTACCTGATACTACTGTGCCTGTAGCCCAGGGGCCAGCCCAGACCAGAGCCTCTCATCCTGCCAACGTGAGAACTGCCTCCAGCTACGTCCTGATACATCCTGATACTACGTGATAATACTACTACCTGATACTACTACTACCTGATACTACTACTACCTGATACTACTACTACCTGATACTACTACTACCTGATACTACTACTACCTGATACTACTACCACCTGATACTACTACTACTACTACCTGATACTACTACTACCTGATACTACTGTGCCTGTAGCCCAGGGGCCAGCCCAGACCAGAGCCTCTCATCCTGCCAACGTGAGAACTGCCTCCCGCTACGTCCTGATACATCCTGATACTACGTGATAATACTACTACTACCTGATACTACTACTACTACTACCTGATACTACTACTACATCCTGATACTACTGTGCCTGTAGTCCAGGGGCCAGCCCAGACCAGAGCCTCTCATCCTGTCAACGTGAGAACTGCCTCCCGCTACTTCCTGATACAGCCTGATATTACGTGACAATACTACTACTACTACCTGATACTACTACTACTACCTGATACTACTACTACTACCTGATACTACTACTACCTGATACTACTACTACTACCTGATACTACTACTACTACCTGATACTACTACTACCTGATACTACTACTACCTGATACTACTACTACCTGATACTACTACTACATCCTGATACTACTACTACTACCTGATACTACTACTACCTGATACTACTACTACCTGATACTACTGTGCCTGTAGTCCAGGCGCCAGCCCAGACCAGAGCCTCTCATCCTGTCAACGTGAGAACTGCCTCCAGCTACGTCCTGATACAGCCTGATACTACGTGACAATACTACTACTACCTGATACTACTACTACTACCTGATACTACTACTACCTGATACTACTACTACCTGATACTACTACTACCTGATACTACTACTACCTGATACTACTACTACCTGATACTACTACATCCTGATACTACTACTACTACCTGATACTACTACTACCTGATACTACTACTACTACTACCTGATACTACTACTACCTGATACATCCTGATACTACGTGACAATACTACTACTACTACCTGATACTACTACTACCTGATACTACTACTACTACCTGATACTACTACTACCTGATACATCCTGATACTACTGCTACTACTACCTGATACTACTACTACATCCTGATACTACTACTACCTGATACTACTACTACCTGATACTACTACTACCTGATACTACTACTACCTGATACTACTACTACCTGATACTACTACTACTACTACTTGATACTACTACTACTACTACCTGATACTACTACTACCTGATACTGCAACTACCTGATACTACTACTTCCTGATACTACTACTACCTGATACTACTACTACCTGATACTACTACTACCTGATACTACTTCTACCTGATACTACTACTACCTGATACTACTACTACTACCTGATACTACTACTACCTGATACTACTACTACTACCTGATACTACTACTACCTGATACGACTACTACTACCTAATACTACTACCTGATACTACTACTACCTGATACTACTACTACTACCTGATATTACTACTACCTGATTCTACTACTACCTGATACTACTACCTGATACTACTACTACTACTACCTGATACTACTACTACTACCTGATACTACTACTGCTACTACTACTACCTGATACTACTACTACCTGATACTACTACTACCTGATACTACTACTACTACCTGATACTACTACTACCTGATACTACTACCTGATACTACTACTACCTGATACTACTACTACCTGATACTACTACTACTACTACTTGATACTACTACCTGATACTACTACTACCTGATACTACTACTACCTGATACTGCAACTACCTGATACTACTACTTCCTGATACTACTACTACCTGATACTACTACTACCTGATACTACTACTACCTGATACAGCCTGATACTACTACTACCTGATACTACTACTACCTGATACAGCCTGATACTACTCCTACCTGATACAGACTGATACTACAACTACTACCTGATACCGCCTGATACTACTACTACCTGATACTACTACTACCTGATACTACTACTACCTGATACTACTACTACCTGATACAGGCTGATACTACTACTACTACCTGATACAGACTGATACTACTACTACTTGATACTACTACTACCTGATACAGCCTGATAATACTACTACCTGATACTACTACTACCTGATACTACTACTACCTGATACTACTACTACCTGATACAGCCTGATACTACTACTACCTGATACTACTACTACCTGATACAGCCTGATACTCCTACTACCTGATACTACTACTACCTGATACAGACTGATACTACTACTACTACCTGATACCGCCTGATACTACTACTACCTGATACTACTACCTGATACAGACTGATACTACTACTACTACCTGATACCGCCTGATACTACTACTACCTGATACTACTACTACCTGATACAGCCTGATACAGCCTGATACCACTACGACTACTACCTGATACAGACTGATACTACTACTACTACCTGATACAGACTGATACTACTACTACTACCTGATACTACTACCTGATACTACTACTACCTGATACAGCCTGATACTACTACTACTACCTGATACAGACTGATACTACTACTTGATACTACTACCTGATACAGCCTGATAATACTACTACCTGATACTACTACTACTACCTGATACTACTACTACCTGATACTACTACTACTACCTGATACTACTACTACTACCTGATACTACTACTACTACCTGATACTACTACTACTACTACCTGATACTACTACTACTACCTGATACTACTACTACCACTACTACTACCTGATACTACTACCTGATACTACTACTACCTGATACTACTACTACTACCTGATACAGCCTGATACTACTACTACCACTACTACTACACTACCACTACACTACTACTATTACCTGATACTACTACTACCTACTACTACCTAATACTACTAATACCTTACACTACCTGATACAACTACCACTAGCTCCTCCTACTACCTGATACTACTACCTGATACTACTACTACCACTACATCCTACTACCTGATACTACTACTACCACTACATCCTACTACCTGATACTACTACGACTACTACTACCACTATCTCCTACTACTATTACTACTACCTCCTACTGCACATCCTCCACCACCTCCTCCTCTTCTGGGTGGATAGGTGGGTGGGTGGATGGTTTGGTGGGTGGATGGTTTGGTGGGTGGGTGGGTGGATAGGTGGGTGGATGGGTAGGTGGATGGTTTGGTGGATGGGTAGATGGGTGGGTAGGTGGATGGGTGGGTGGGTGGGTGGATGGGTGGGCCGATGGTTTGGTGGGTGGATGGGTGGGTGGGTGGATGGGTGGGTGGGTGGGTGGATGGGTGGGCCGATGGTTTGGTGGGTGGATGGGTGGGTAGGTGGATGGGTGGGTGGATGGGTGGATGGGTGGGTGGGTGGATGGGTGGATGGGTGGGTGGGTTGAGCGTGACACCTTCACCTTTGCAACCTCTCCCCCACCACCACTCCCCCCACCACCCCCCCACCACCCCCCCCCACCACCCCCCCACCACACGCAGTGTGCGCTGTGGGTCTGTACAAGGCAGAGGGCGGCCTGGGCGGCTGTGGACCGTGCCCGGCTAGGAGCCACGCGGTGTCGCTGGGAGCCACGGCGTGTGCCTGTGAGCCCGGTTACTACCGTGCCGACACTGACGGAGCGCACCTCGCCTGCACAGGTGACGGTGGTGGTGGTGGTGATGACGGTTGTGGTGATGGTGGTGATGGTGGTGGTGATGGTGGTGGTGATGGTGGTGGTGGTGATGGTGGTGGTGATGGTGATGGCGGTGGTGACGGTGGTGGTGATGGTTGTGGTGGTGATGATGGTGGTGGAGGTGGTGGTGGTGGTGGTGGTGATGGTGATGGTGGTGGTGGTGATGGTGGTGACGGTGGTGGTGGTGGTGGTGATGGTGATGGTGGTGATGGTGGTGGTGGTGGTGATGGTGGTGGTGGTGATGGTGGTGGTGATGGTGGTGATGGTGGTGGTGATAGTTATGATGGTGGTGATGGTGGTGATGGTGATGGCGGTGATGGTGGTGGTGGTGGTGACGGTGGTGGTGACGGTGGTGATGGTGGTGGTGATGGTGGTGGTGATGGTTGTGGTGATGGTGGTGGTGGTGATGGTGGTGATGGTGGTGGTGATGGTGGTGATGGTGGTGGTGGTGATGGTGATGGTGGTGATGATGGTGGTGGTGATGGTGGTGGTGGTGGTGATGGTGGTGGTGGTGGTGATGATGGTGGTGGTGGTGGTGGTGGTGATGGTGGTGGTGGTGATGATGGTGGTGGTGGTGATGGTGGTTGTGGTGATGGTGGTGGTGGTGATGGTGGTGATGGTGGTGGTGGTGATGGTGGTGGTGGTGATGGTGGTGATGATGGTGGTGGTGATGGTGGTGGTGGTGATGGTGGTGGTGGTGGTGATGATGGTGGTGGTGGTGGTGGTGATGGTGGTGGTGGTGATGATGGTGGTGGTGGTGATGGTGGTGGTGGTGATGGTGGTGGTGATGATGGTGATGATGGTGATGGTGGTGATGGTGGTGATGGTGGTGATGGTGGTGGTGGTGGTGGTGATGGTGGTGATGGTGGTGGTGATGGTGATGGTGGTGGTGATGATGGTGGTGATGGTGGTGATGGTGATGGTGGTGATGATGGTGGTGATGGTGATGGTGGTGATGGTGGTGATGGTGGTGATGGTGGTGATGGTGGTGGTGATGGTGATGGTGGTGGTGATGATGGTGGTGATGGTGGTGATGGTGATGGTGGTGATGATGGTGGTGATGGTGATGGTGGTGATGGTGGTGATGGTGATGGTAGTGATGGTGATGGTGGTTGTGATTGTGGCTGTGATTGTGGCGGTGATTCCACCGCCGCATCCAGCCGCAGGTGGTTGGACGCGTGGACAGCGACACGGGGGGTGGGGGGGGGGAGCAGGGAACCGTTGCCATGGGAGATGGAAGCTGTTGCCAAGGCTGATGGAAGCTGTTGCCAAGGAGGGATGGAAGCTGTTGCCAAGGGAGATGGAAGCTGTTGCCAAGGGGGATGGAAGCTGTTGCCATGGGAGATGGGGGCCGTTGCCAAGGGAGATGGAAGCTGTTGCCAAGGGAGATGGAAGCTGTTGCCAAGGGAGATGGAAGCTGTTGCCAAGGGAGATGGGAGCTGTTGCCAAGGGAGATGGAAGCTGTTGCCATGGGAGATGGGGGCCGTTGCCAAGGGAGATGTAAGCTGTTGCCAAGGGAGATGGAAGCTGTTGCCAAGGGAGGTGGAAGCTGTTGCCAAGGGAGATGGAAGCTGTTGCCATGGGAGATGGGGGCCGTTGCCAAGGGAGATGTAAGCTGTTGCCAAGGAGGTGGAAGCTGTTGCCAAGGGAGATGGAAGCTGTTGCCAAGGGGGATGGAAGCTGTTGCCAAGGGGGATGGAAGCTGTTGCCAAGGGAGATGGAAGCTGTTGCCAAGGGAGATGGAAGTTGTTGCCAAGGTAGATGGAAGCTGTTGCCAAGGAGGGATGGAAGCTGTTGCCAAGAGAGATGGAAGCTGTTGCCAAGTTAGATGGAAGCTGTTGCTAAGGGAGGTGGAAGCTGTTGCCAAGGGAGGTGGAAGCTGTTGCCAAGGGGGGATGGAAGCTGTTGCCAAGGGAGATGGAAGCTGTTGCCAAGGGAGGTGTAAGCTGTTGCCAAGGGAGATGGAAGCTGTTGCCAAGGGAGATGGAAGCTGTTGCCAAGGGAGATGGGAGCTGTTGCCAAGGGAGATGGGAGCTGTTGCCATGGGAGATGGAAGCTGTTGCCAAGGGTAGATGGAAGCTGTTGCCAAGGGAGATGGGAGCTGTTGCCAAGGGTAGATGGGGGCCGTTGCCAAGGGTAGATGGAAGCTGTTGCCTAGGGAGATGGGAGCTGTTGCCAAGGGTAGATGGAAGCTGTTGCCAAGGGGGGATGGAAGCTGTTGCCGAGGGAGATGGAAGCTGTTGCCAAGGGGGGATGGAAGCTGTTGCCAAGGGAGGTGGAAGCTGTTGCCAACGGGGATGGGAGCCGTTGCCAAGGGGGATGGAAGCTGTTGCCAAGGGAGGTGGAAGCTGTTGCCAAGGGAGATGGAAGCTGTTGCCAAGGGGGATGGAAGCTGTTGCCAAGGGAGGTGGAAGCTGTTGCCAAGGGGGATGGAAGCTGTTGCCAAGGGGGGATGGAAGCTGTTGTCAAGGGAGATGGAAGCTGTTGCCAAGGGAGATGGAAGCTGTTGCCAAGGGAGATGGAAGCTGTTGCCATGGGAGATGGAAGCTGTTGCCATGGAAGATGGAAGCTGTTGCCAAGGGGGATGGGAGCTGTTGCCAAGGGAGATGGAAGCTGTTGCCAAGGGGGATGGCAGCTGTTGCCAAGGGAGATGGAAGATGTTGCCAAGGGAGATGGAAGCTGTTGCCAAGGGAGATGGAAGCTGTTGCCAAGGGGGATGGAAGCTGTTGCCAAGGGGGATGGAAGCTGTTGCCAAGGGAGATGGAAGCTGTTGCCAAGGGAGATGGAAGTTGTTGCCAAGGTAGATGGAAGCTTTTACCAAGGGAGGTGGAAGCTGTTGCCAAGGGAGATGGAAGCTGTTGCCATGGGAGATGGGGGCCGTTGCCAAGGGAGATGTAAGCTGTTGCCAAGGGAGGTGGAAGCTGTTGCCAAGGGTAGATGGAAGCTGTTGCCAAGGTAGATGGAAGCTGTTGCCAAGGGGGGATAGAAGCTGTTGCCAAGGGAGGTGTAAGCTGTTGCCAAGGGAGATGGGAGCCATTGCCAAGGGGGATGGAAGCTGTTGCCAAGGGAGGTGGAAGCTGTTGCCAAGGGAGATGGAAGCTGTTGCCAAGGGAGATGGAAGCTGTTGCCAAGGGGGATGGAAGCTGTTGCCAAGGGGGATGGAAGCTGTTGCCAAGGGTAGATGGAAGCTGTTGCCAAGGGTAGATGGAAGCTGTTGCCTAGGGAGATGGGAGCTGTTGCCAAGGGTAGATGGAAGCTGTTGCCAAGGGGGGATGGAAGCTGTTGCCGAGGGAGATGGAAGCTGTTGCCAAGGGAGATGTAAGCTGTTGCCAACGGGGATGGGAGCCGTTGCCAAGGGAGATGGAAGCTGTTGCCAAGGGAGATGGAAGCTGTTGCCAAGGGAGATGGAAGCTGTTCCCTCCCCTCACCCCCCCCCACCCCCCCTCCCCCCCTCCCCCCCTCCCCCCCTCCCCCCCTCCCTCACCCCCCCCCCTCACCCCCCCTCCCCCCCCTCTCCCCCTCCCCCCCCCCTCCCCCCCCCTCTCCCCCTCCCTCACCCCCCCTCTCCCCCCTCCCCCCCCCCCCCCCTCCCCGTGCGCCCCGCAGGGGTTCCGTCCGAGCCGCGGGCTCTCTCCGTGACTCCGCTGACGGCGTCCCCCACGGCCACGGCCACGGCGGCCGCGGCCACAGCGGCCGCGGCCGTGGCCCTGGAGTGGCTGCCGCCGGCCGACACCGGCGGCCGCGACGACCTCCGCTACAACGTCATCTGCCGAGCGTGTCCCCTGGCCTCGCCCCGCTCACGGCACAGCGGCACGGTGAGCGGGGACGGGGAAGCCAGATGGGCCGAGGAGCCAGATGGACAGCCAGATTAAACGAACCAGATGGTAGGAGCCAGATGGGACGAGGAGCCAGATTGAACGAACCAGATGGTAGGAGCCAGATTGAACGAACCAGATGGGCCGAGGAGCCAGATTGAATGAACCAGATGGTAGGAGCCAGATTGAACGAACCAGATGGGACGAGGAGCCAGATTGAACGAACCAGATGGTAGGAGCCAGATTGAACGAACCAGATGGGCCGAGGAGCCAGATTGAACGAACCAGATGGTAGGAGCCAGATGGGACGAGGAGCCAGATTGAACGAACCAGATGGTAGGAGCCAGATTGAACGAACCAGATGGGCCGAGGAGCCAGATTGAATGAACCAGATGGTAGGAGCCAGATTGAACGAACCAGATGGGACGAGGAGCCAGATTGAACGAACCAGATGGTAGGAGCCAGATTGAACGAACCAGATGGGCCGAGGAGCCAGATTGAACGAACCAGATGGTAGGAGCCAGATGGGACGAGGAGCCAGATTGAACGAACCAGATGGTAGGAGCCAGATTGAACGAACCAGATGGGACGAGGAGCCAGATTGAACGAACCAGATGGTAGGAGCCAGATTGAACGAACCAGATGGGCCGAGGAGCCAGATTGAACGAACCAGATGGTAGGAGCCAGATTGAACGAACCAGATGGGACGAGGAGCCAGATTGAACGAACCAGATGGTAGGAGCCAGATTGAACGAACCAGATGGGACGAGGAGCCAGATTGAACGAACCAGATGGTAGGAGCCAGATGGGACGAGGAGCCAGATGGGACGAGGAGCCAGATTAAACTAACCAGACGGTAGGAGCCAGATGGGCCGAGCCAGATGGGCCGAGCCAGATGGGACGAGGAGCCAGATTGTTGCCCGGGTGGAACGAGGAGCCAGATTCAGAGCGTGCCCCCTGGCCTCGCCCCGCTCACGGCACGGCGGCACGGTGAGCGGGGACGAGGAAGCCAGATGGGACGAGGAGCCAGATTAAACTAACCAGATGGTAGGAGCCAGATGGGAAGAGGAGCCAGATTGAACGAACCAGATTGAACGAACCAGATGGGAGGAGCCAGATGGGACGAGGAGCCAGATTAAACTAACCAGATGGTAGGAGCCAGATGGGAAGAGGAGCCAGATTGAACGAACCAGATTGAACGAACCAGATGGGAGGAGCCAGATGGGACGAGGAGCCAGATTAAACTAACCAGATGGTAGGAGCCAGATGGGCAGAGACAGATGGAGCAAGCCAGGTGGCACGAGCCAGATTAAACGAACCAGATGGACCGAGCCAGATTGAACGAACCAGATTAAACGAACCAGATGGACCGAGGAGCCAGATTGTTGCCCGGGTGGAACGAGGAGCCAGATTCAGAGCGTGCCCCCTGGCCTCGCCCCGCTCAGGGCACGGCGGCACGGTGAGCGGGGACGAGGAAGCCAGATGGGACGAGGAGCCAGATTAAACTAACCAGATGGTAGGAGCCAGATGGGACAAGGAGCCAGATTAAACTAACCAGATGGTAGGAGCCAGATGGGACGAGGAGCCAGATTAAACTAACCAGATGGTAGGAGCCAGATGGGACGAGGAGCCAGATTAAACTAACCAGATGGTAGGAGCCAGATGGGACGAGGAGCCAGATTGAACTAACCAGATGGTAGGAGCCAGATGGGACGAGGAGCCAGATTAAACTAACCAGATGGTAGGAGCCAGATGGGACGAGGAGCCAGATTAAACTAACCAGATGGTAGGAGCCAGATGGGAAGAGGAGCCAGATTGAACGAACCAGATTGAACGAACCAGATGGGAGGAGCCAGATGGGACGAGGAGCCAGATTAAACTAACCAGATGGTAGGAGCCAGATGGGAAGAGGAGCCAGATTGAACGAACCAGATTGAACGAACCAGATGGGAGGAGCCAGATGGGACGAGGAGCCAGATTAAACTAACCAGATGGTAGGAGCCAGATGGGCAGAGACAGATGGAGCAAGCCAGGTGGCACGAGCCAGATTAAACGAACCAGATGGACTGAGCCAGATTGAACGAACCAGATTAAACGAACCAGATGGACCGAGGAGCCAGATTGTTGCCCGGGTGGAACGAGGAGCCAGATTCAGAGCGTGCCCCCTGGCCTCGCCCCGCTCACGGCACGGCGGCACGGTGAGCGGGGACGAGGAAGCCAGATGGGACGAACCAGATTAAACTAACCAGATGGTAGGAGCCAGATGGGACGAACCAGATTGGCAGCCAGATTAAACTAACCAGATGGTAGGAGCCAGATGGGACGAACCAGATTGGCAGCCAGATTAAACTAACCAGATGGTAGGAGCCAGATGGGACGAACCAGATTGGCAGCCAGATTAAACTAACCAGATGGTAGGAGCCAGATGGGACGAGGAGCCAGATTAAACCAACCAGATGGGAGAAGCCAGATGGGACGAGGAGCCAGATTAAACTAACCAGATGGTAGGAGCCAGATGGGACGAGGAGCCAGATTAAACTAACCAGATGGTAGGAGCCAGATGGGAAGAGGAGCCAGATTAAACTAACCAGATGGTAGGAGCCAGATGGGACGAACCAGATTGGCAGCCAGATTAAACTAACCAGATGGTAGGAGCCAGATGGGAAGAGGAGCCAGATTAAACTAACCAGATGGTAGGAGCCAGATGGGAAGAGGAGCCAGATGGAACAAACCAGATTGGCAGCCAAATTAAACTAACCAGATGGTAGGAGCCAGATGGGACGAGGAGCCAGATTAAACTAACCAGATGGTAGGAGCCAGATGGGAAGAGGAGCCAGATTAAACTAACCAGATGGGAGGAGCCAGATGGGACGAGGAGCCAGATTAAACTAACCAGATGGGAGGAGCCAGATGGGACGAGGAGCCAGATTAAACTAACCAGATGGTAGGAGCCAGATGGGACGAGGAGCCAGATTAAACTAACCAGATGGTAGGAGCCAGATGGGAAGAGGAGCCAGATTAAACTAACCAGATGGTAGGAGCCAGATGGGAAGAGGAGCCAGATTAAACTAACCAGATGGTAGGAGCCAGATGGGACGAGGAGCCAGATTAAACTAACCAGATGGTAGGAGCCAGATGGGAAGAGGAGCCAGATTAAACTAACCAGATGGTAGGAGCCAGATGGGAAGAGGAGCCAGATTAAACTAACCAGATGATAGGAGCCAGATGGGAAGAGGAGCCAGATTGAACGAACCAGATTGAACGAACCAGATGGGAGGAGCCAGATGGGACGAGGAGCCAGATTAAACTAACCAGATGGTAGGAGCCAGATGGGCAGAGACAGATGGAGCAAGCCAGGTGGCACGAGCCAGATTAAACGAACCAGATGGACCGAGCCAGATTGAACGAACCAGATTAAACGAACCAGATGGACCGAGGAGCCAGATTGTTGCCCGGGTGGAACGAGGAGCCAGATTCAGAGCGTGCCCCCTGGCCTCGCCCCGCTCACGGCACGGCGGCACGGTGAGCGGGGACGAGGAGCCAGATGGGCCGAGGAGCCAGATTAAACTAACCAGATGGTAGGAGCCAGATGGGACGAGGAGCCAGATTAAACTAACCAGATGGTAGGAGCCAGATGGGACGAGGAGCCAGATTAAACTAACCAGATGGTAGGAGCCAGATGGGACGAGGAGCCAGATTAAACTAACCAGATGGTAGGAGCCAGATGGGACGAGGAGCCAGATTAAACTAACCAGATGGTAGGAGCCAGATGGGACGAGGAGCCAGATTAAACTAACCAGATGGTAGGAGCCAGATGGGATGAGGAGCCAGATTAAACTAACCAGATGGGAGGAGCCAGATGGGACGAGGAGCCGGAATTAAACTAACCAGATGGTAGGAGCCAGATGGGACGAGGAGCCAGATTAAACTAACCAGATGGTAGGAGCCAGATGGGACGAGGAGCCAGATGGAACAAACCAGATTGGCAGCCAGATTAAACTAACCAGATGGTAGGAGCCAGATGGGACGAACCAGATGGGCCGAGCCAGATGGACAGCCAGATTGAACGAACCAGATTAAACGAGCCAGATGGACCGAGGAGCCAGATGGGACGAGGAGCCAGATGGGACGAACCAGATTGACAGCCAGATTAAACTAACCAGATGGTAGGAGCCAGATGGGACGAGGAGCCAGATGGGATGAGGAGCCAGATGGGACGAGGAGCCAGATGGGACGAGGAGCCAGATGGGACGAGGAGCCAGATGGGACGAGGAGACAGATGGGACGAGGAGCCAGATGGGACGAGGAGCCAGATGGGACGAGGAGCCAGATGGGACGAGGAGCCAGATGGGACGAGGAGCCAGATGGGACGAGGAGCCAGATGGGACGAGGAGCCAGATGGGACGAGGAGCCAGATGGGACGAGGAGCCAGATGGGACGAGGAGACAGATGGAGCGAACCAGATTGACAGCCAGATTAAACTAACCAGATGGCTCGAGCCAGATTGTTGCCCGGGTGGAACGAGGAGCCAGATTCAGAGCCAGGTTGAACGAACCAGATGGGCCGAGCCAGATGGCGCTCGCCAGATGGGCCGAGCCAGAGTAAACGAACCAGATGGTAGGAGCCAGATGGACCGAGGAGCCAGATTGTTGCCCGGGTGGAACGAGGAGCCAGATTCAGAGCGTGCCCCCTGGCCTCGCCCCGCTCACGGCACGGCGGCACGGTGAGCGGGGCCGAGGAGCCAGATGGGACGAACCAGATTAAACTAACCAGATGGTAGGAGCCAGATTGAACGAACCAGATGGGCCGAGCCAGATGGACAGCCAGATTGAACGAACCAGGTTAAACTAGCCAGATGGCTCGAGCCAGATTGTTGCCCCGGTGGAACGAGGAGCCAGATTCAGAGCCAGGTTGAACGAACCAGATGGGCCAAGCCAGATGGCGCTAGCCAGATGGGCCGAGCCAGATTAAACGAACCAGATGGTAGGAGCCAGATGGGCCAAGCCAGATGGGACGAGGAGCCAGATGGGCCGAGCCAGATTAAACTAACCAGACGGTAGGAGCCAGATGGGCCGAGCCAGATGGGACGAGGAGCCAGGTGGAGCGAGCCAGATGGGCTGAGCCAGATTAAACAAACCAGATGGACAGCCAGATTGAACGAACCAGATTAAACTAACCAGATGGTAGGAGCCAGATGGGCCGAGACAGATGGAGCGAGCCAGGTGGCACGAGCCAGATTGAACGAACCAGATGGACCGAGCCAGATTGAACGAACCAGATTAAACGAACCAGATGGACCGAGCCAGATTGAACGAACCAGATGGACCGAGCCAGATTGAACGAACCAGATTAAACGAACCAGTTGGACCGAGCCAGATTGAACGAACCAGATTAAACGAACCAGATGGACCGAGCCAGATTGAACGAACCAGATAGACCGAGCCAGATTGAACGAACCAGATTAAACGAACCAGATGGACCGAGCCAGATTGAACGAACCAGATTAAACGAACCAGATGGACCGAGCCAGATTGAACGAACCAGATGGACCGAGCCAGATTGAACGAACCAGATTAAACGAACCAGATGGACCGAGCCAGATTGAACGAACCAGATGGACCGAGCCAGATTGAACGAACCAAATTAAACGAACCAGATGGACCGAGCCAGATTGAACGAACCAGATTAAACGAGCCAGATGGACTGAGCCAGATTGTTGCCCGGGTGGAACGAGGAGCCAGATTCAGAGCGTGTCCCCTCGCCTCGCCCCGCTCACGGCACGGCGGCACGGTGAGCGGGGCCGAGGAGCCAGATGGGACGAGGAGCCAGATTAAACTAACCAGATGGTAGGAGCCAGATGGGACGAGCCAGATGGGCCGGGTCAGATTGAACGAGCCAGATGGACAGCCAGATTAAACGAACCAGATGGTAGGAGCCAGATTAAACGAACCAGATGGTAGGAGCCAGATTAAACGAGCCAGATGGCTCAAGCCAGATGGACCGAGCCAGATTAAATGAACCAGATGGCTCGAGCCAGATGGACCGAGCCAGATTAACCGAACCAGATGGCTCAAGCCAGATGGACCGAGCCAGATTAAACGAACCAGATGGCTCAAGCCAGATGGACCGAGCCAGATTAACCGAACCAGATGGCTCGAGCCAGATGGACCGAGCCAGATTAAACGAACCAGATGGCTCAAGCCAGATGGACCGAGCCAGATTAAACGAACCAGATGGCTCAAGCCAGATGGACCGAGCCAGATTAAATGAACCAGATGGCTCAAGCCAGATGGACCGAGCCAGATTAACCGAACCAGATGGCTCAAGCCAGATGGACCGAGCCAGATTAACCAAACCAGATGGCTCGAGCCAGATGGACCGAGCCACATTAAACGAACCAGATGGACCGAGCCAGATTGGTGCCCGGGTGGAACGAGGAGTCAGATGCAGAGCCATATTAAATGAACCAGATGGTAGGAGCCGGATGGAACGAGCCCGATGGACAGCCAGATAAAACGAACCAGATGGAACGAGCCAGATGGATTAAGCCAGATGGAACTAATCAAATGGAATAAGCCAGATGGATGGCCAGATTGTATGAACCAGATAGACTGTTGGGGCAAGTGTTGTTATCGAGCACCTATGAAGGCCGGCACGGCTACAGGAGGGGGTGGGTGGCCAGCAGCACCTGGTGGTGGTGGCTGTGAGCACACAACACACACCACACACACCACACACACACACCACACACACCACACACACACACCACACACACCACACACACACACCACACACACACCACACACACACCACACACCACACACACCACACACACACACCACACACACCACACACACACCACACACACCACACACACACACCACACACACCACACACACCAAACACACACACCACACACACCACACACACCAAACACACCACACACACCACACACACACACCACACACACACCACACACACCACACACACACACCACACACCACACACACCACACACCACACCACACACACACACCACACACACACAACACACACCACACACACCACACACACCACACACACACACCACACACACCACACACACTCACACACACCACACACACCACACACACCACACACACACACCACACACACCACACACACACCACACACAACACACACACCACACATCACCACACACACACCACACACACCACACACACACACACCACACACCACACACACCACACACCACACCACACACACACAACACACACACCACACACACACCACACACACCACACACACCACAAACACCACACACACCACACACACCACACACACCACACACACCACACACACACACCACACACACCACACACACACACACACCACACACACCACACACACCACACACACACACCACACACACCACACACACACCACACACAACACACACACCACACATCACCACACACACACCACACACACCACACACACACACACCACACACCACACACACCACACACCACACCACACACACACAACACACACACCACACACACACCACACACACCACACACACACCACAAACACCACACACACCACACACACCACACACACCACACCACACACACACCACAAACACCACACACACAACACATCACCACTCACACGAACGATAGACGGATGACGCCCCCACCCCGAATCTCCATCTCCGCAGGGCGGCTCCGGCACCGGCGCCGGCGCCGGCTGCATCCGCTGCGACTCTCACCTGAGCTTCTGGCCGGGGCGGCTGGACCTGCCGGGCACGCGCGTGGAGGTGGCCGGCCTGGCACCCCTCACGCTCTACGCCCTGGAGGTGCAGGCCCTGAACGGAGTCTCCGCCCTCAGCCCATTGCCTCCACGTTCCGCAACAGCGCAGTACAGCCTGCCCGCTGCAGGTGACTCGGTGGTGGTGGTGGTGATGGTGGTGGTGGGGGTGGTGGTGGTGGTGGTGGTGGTGAAGGCGGTGGGGGTGGTGGTGCAGGTGGTGGTGGAGGTGATGGCCGTGGTGGCGGTGGTGGTGGTGGATGCGGTGGAGGCGGTGGTGGTGGTGGTGGAGGCGGTGGTGGAGGTGGTGGTGGTGGAGGTGGTGGAGGTGGTGGAGGCGGTGGTGGAGGTGGTGGTGGTGGAGGTGGTGGAGGTGGCGGTGGAGGCGGTGAAGGTGGTGGTGGTGGTAGTGGAGGTGGTGGTGGTGGTGGTGGTGGTGGTGGCGGAGGCGATGGAGGCAGTGGTGGTGGAGGTGGCGGTGGAGGTGGTGGCGGTGGTGGAGGTGGTGGTGGAGGTGGTGGTGGAGGTGGTGGAGGTGGCGGTAGAGGTGGTGGAGGTGGTGGAGGTGGCGGTGGAGGTGGCGGTGGAGGTGGTGGTGTTGGTGGAGGTGGTGGAGGTGGTGGTGGAGGCGGTGGAGGCGGTGGTGGTGGAGGTGGTGGAGGTGGTGGAGGCAGTGTTGGCCGTGAAAGATCGTGGCTGTAAGGGTAGCGGCTGAGCGTTTGAGGCGGTAGAGCCCATCGCGTGATTGCGTGTGACCCCGGCTGACAGAGGAGGTGTTCAGGCTGGCTGAGAAAAAGCGACAGGCCCACTCTCATTGGCTACAGCATCCCACGTCGGAGAATGAGGAGGCTTGCCGCGGCCTTCGCTCGGAGGTTCGGAGAGCCGTGAGGCGCTGCAAGGATGGGTGGTGGTCGCGGGTTGCTGAGGAAATGGAGTCTGCCTCAGTGGCCCGCGATCACAAATCGCTCTTTAATTCCATCAGAAAAGTAACCTGCAGCGCCACACCTATTACCATCATTAGGGGAAAGAACGGTGATCCAATCTCCGACCCCCAGCAAGAGGTCTGCAGGTTTGCAGAGCATTTCTGTGAGGTCTTGAGGGAAGGGAATTCCATTAGCCTGGAAAGCAACGTGGGACAAAGTGGGGATGACCCTGCCGAGGCTGCGGTGCCTCAAATATTGAAATAAGTCACCCCCTGTGAGTGGCTGGCTGAGGTGCCATCTGTTGAGGAAGTACTGAAGGCGATCCAGAGCCTGAGACCAGGAAAGGCAGCGGGCAGAGATGATCTCCCAAGCGAAATGCTGAGGGAGGGTGGCGTTTGTGCACAGACTGCCCTACATGACATCATAACAACAGTCTGGACCACTGGACGGGTTCCGCAGGATTGGAAGGATGCTCTGGTGGTCCCCCTCTTTTAGAAGGGGGACCGCACAGACTGTAACAACTACAGGGGCATCTCAATCCTCAGTGTGCCGGGAAAGGTCCTGGCAAGGATTATTCAACATCGCCTTGCCAGGCACGCTGAGGAGAGGCTTGCGGAGCCCCGATGTGGTTTCAGGAAAGGGCGGTCCTGCACAGATGCCATATTTTCTGTCTGTCTGCTACAGCAGAGGTGTAGGGAATTCCAGCAAGACCTACATTTCTGCTTTATTGACCTGGTCAAGGCCTATGATACCATCAGTAGGCCTGGGCTCTGGGTTGTTCTTCGTGCTTTTGGAGTACCTGACCCTCTGCTCACGATCATTAAGGACCTTCATGATGGTGAGCGGGCCCGGGTAAGACTACGTGGCCGGGAGTCAGAGCCATTCCCTGTACACCTTGGGGTGCGACAGGGATGTCCTCTGGCTCCCACATTATTTAACATCTATTTTGACCGCGTAGTTCGTGAAGCCTTCGATGGCAATACCAGAGGAATTTCCATCTGGCAAAGATACAATGGGAGGCTGATCGATGCCCAGGTGCGGTCAAGGGATGGCTCCCTATTGCTCAACCACGTTATGTATGCCGATGATTTGGTGATTGCTGCTCACTCAGAGAAGGAGTTGAAGACGCTGCTGCTGAGACTGGAGCATGCCACTAAGAGATGAGGCCTTACCATCAGCCCCACCAAAACTAAGCACCTGCCTGGGTATTTTGTACCATCGGACACTCCACCCGCACAACTCCCAATCGGTGATGGGGCAGTTGTGGAGAGAGTGGAGAGTTTCCCATACTTGGGCAGTACGCTTATGACCGGCTCCGGTTTAACAGCAGAGGTCTCACTCCGAATCAGTCAGGCGGCAATATCTTTTCATCGGTTGCCTAACGCTGTGTGGAAGCTACCTGGTCTGTCGCTCCCCCGCATGCCCAGCCACCGCATGCCCAAGCAGCGTCTGTTTGGCCGGATCGAGGGGGCTAAGCGGGGGCGGCATGGGCTAGAGAAGAGATGGAGTGACGTGGTACAGGAGGACGTGGAGCTGAGTGGACTTGCCGATGACTGGTACCAGCGGTGTCAAGATTGGCCTCTGTGGAGGAGGCTCGTGAAGGACGCTACTGGGCAGTTGGAGGCAGTCGCCCTCCAACAACAACGGAGGGCGGAGGAGCGACACTCACAACAATGAGCGGAGCGCCGGGTGGCTGAAGCACAGCAGGTTGGCACAGTAGGGGGCACAGGTGGTGCATCAGCCAGTCATCTCAGTCATCTCAGTCAGTCGACCCGTGGCACCTGCTGGGTTCTGTCCCGTGACCTCCTGCACCTAGCCTGGCACAGCAGTACAACAACCCATGGCACCTGCTGGGTCTGTCACGTGACCTCCTGTCAGCAGCGACCCTTCGACACTTCACGTGGTGGCCTCAAGGTGCACCTAGCCTGGCACAGGTGCCGTGGTGACGTCACCGCCACTTAGTGGCGAATGACGGAAATTGGTATTAGATGATGGTGATGATGGTGGTGATGGCGATGATGGTGATGATGATGATGGTGGTGGTGATGGTGGTGATGGCGATGATGGTGGTGGTGATGGTGGTGATGGTGGTGATGGTGGTGATGATGATGGTGGTGATGGTGGTGATGATGATGATGATGGTGGTGGTGATGGTGATGGTGGTGATGGTGGTGATGATGATGGTGGTGATGGTGGTGATAATGGTATTGGTGGTGGTAGTAGTCGTGATGGTGGTGATGATGGTGGTGGTGGTGATGATGGCGATGATGGCGATGATGGTGATGATGATGGCGATGATGATGGTGATGATGATGGACATGGTGATGATGGTGATGATGGTGATGATGATGATGGTGATGATGATGGTGATGATGATGATGATGGCGATGATGATGATGGCGATGATGGACATGGTGATGATGGTGATGATGATGGTGATGATGGCGATGATAGCGATGATGGCGATGATGATGGTGATGATGATGGACATGGTGATGATGATGATGATGGCGATGACGATGATGACGACGATGACGATGATGATGACGACGATGATGATGATGGCGATGATGACGATGACGATGATGATGACGACGATGTTGACGATGATGATGATGATGACGATGATGACGATGATGATGACGATAATGGCGATGATGAGGATGACGACAACGATGATGATGATGACGATGACGACGATGACGATGATGACGATGACGATGATGATGACGATGATGACGATGGCGATGATGACGATGACGACGATGACGATGATGACGATGGCGCATCTCCATTCCCGCCCGCCCGCCACTCTAGAATCCATGCCAGCCGTTCCCATAATGCACCAGGAAGAATCTGGGCCTCAAAGCCTGACCCTGGTCTGGCCTCCACCTGACCACCCCGTGCTGGGCTACCAGCTGTGTTACTACATCAAGGTGAGGGGAGGGCACCAGCATCCACCTCCACCACCTCCACCACCACCACCTCCACGTCCACCACCTACACCACCACCACCACCACCACCGTCACGTCCACCACCACCTCCACCGTCACGTCCACCACAACCACCATCACCACCACCATCACCACCTCCTCCACCATCTCCTCCACCTCCTCCACCATCTCCACCTCCTCCACCATCTCCTCCATCTCCTCCCTCCCTCCCTCCACAATCTCCTCCATCTCCTCCACCTCCTCCTCCATCTCCTCCACCTCCTCCACCTCCTCCACCATCTCCACCACCTCCTCCATCTCCTCCATCTCCTCCACCTCCTCCACCATCTCCTCCATCTCCACCTCCTCCTCCATCTCCTCCACCTCCACCATCTCCTCCTCCACCTCCTCCACCTCCTCCACCTCCTCCATCTCCTCCACCTCCTCCACCTCCTCCATCTCCCTCCCTCCACCTCCTCCCCCTCCTCCATCTCTTCCACCTCCACCATCTCCTCCACCTCCTCCACCTCCTCCACCCCCTCCTCCATCATTTCCACCATCTCCTCCTCCATCTCCTCTACCTCCTCCACCATCTCCTCCTCCATCTCCTCCACCTCCTCCACCATCTCCTCCACCACCTCCTCCACCACCTCCTCCACCACCTCCTCCACCATCTCCTCCCTCCCTCCTCCATCTCCCGCCAGGGTCAGGACCGTCACGGCAACGCCTCTCGCCTCCTGGAGGTGCCCACTGCTCGTGCCGAGGTGCGAGGCCTCTCCCCCGCCACCGTCTACGCCTTCCGTGTGCGTTCGGTGACGCCCGGCGGCGGCTACGGTCAGCTCAGCGGGGAGATGTACTTCCAGACGGAGGCCGCGGGGGGGGCGAGGAGGTGGAGGAGGTGGAGGAGGTGGAGACACGGGGCCAACGGACGGGACGGCCGGTGAGTGAGCGTGTTGGTGGCGACGGGGGGGGGGGGAGGGAGAGTCACGGGGTGGTGGTGGTGATGGTGGTGGAGGTGGAGGAGGTGATAATGTGATGATGCATTGTCCTTGAAACTGATTGGTCCACACCAAGGGACGGCTTTCTTCTTGAGCCTCGACCCAATTGGTGCTCGACCAGATGACGCCAGAAGGCGTTCACACAGCTCAAAGACAATGTCGCTGTCAAAGTAATGAGGGCCTCGGGGTGAGCATCTACATCATCATTAGACCTCCTTTGCCAGTACCAAAATATAATAATAATAACAGGGTTTTCCCATTTTTTTCTGGCCAAACAAAACTGAAACCTTTTTTTACAAGGAGGATCCATGTCACTGCATTAACCACAATACCTGCAGTCAAAATGCAAACAACACAAAGCAACACACACTACGGTAATGTATGATGCATTGTCCTTAAAACCGATTGGTCCACACCGAAGAAAGCCGTCCCTTGGTGTGGACCAATCAGAGTCAAGGACAATGCATCATATATTATAGTAGTGTGTGTTGTTTTGTGTTGTTTGCATTTTCACTGCAGGTATTGTGGTTAATGCAGTGAACATGAATCCTCCTTGTAAAAAAAAGGTTTCAGTTTTGATGCCAGACAAAAGGTAGTGTGTGTTGTTATGTGTTGTTTGCATTTTGACTGCAGGTATTGTGGTTAATGCAGTGAACATGAATCCTCCTTGTAAAAAAAAGGTTTCAGTTTTGTTGCCAGACAAAAGGTGGAAAACCTCTATTATTATTATTACATTTTTGGTACTGGCAAATGAGGCCTAATGATGAAGGCAAGGTTAATGTATCCCTTTTTACCGGGTCAAAGGGTCAAGGTGTCGACATGCCTAGGGGTAAGGTAAAGGGTCGGGGTGAAGGTAGCGGAGTCAAGGTGTAAAGTAAAGGGTCAGGTGATGGTATCGTGGAGTCAAGGGGTAAGGTAAAGGGTCGGAGTGATGGTAGCGGAGTCAAGGTGTAAGGTGAAGGGTCGGGGTGATGGTAGCGGAGTCAAGGGGTAAGGTAAAGGGTCGGGTGATGGTAGCGGAGTCAAGGGGTAAGGTAAAGGGTCGGGGTGATGGTAGCGGAGTCAAGGGGTAAGGTAAAGAGTCGGGGTGAAGGTAGCGGAGTCAAGGGGTAAGGTAAAGGGTCGGGTGAAGATAGCGGAGTCAAGGGGTAAGGTAAAGGGTCGGGGTGATGGTAGCGGAGTCAAGGGGGTAAGGTAAAGGGTCGGGGTGATGGTAGCAGAGTCAAGGGGTAAGGTAAAGGGTCGGGGTGATGGTAGCGGAGTCAAGGGAGTAAGGTAAAGGGTCGGGGTGATGGTAGCGTGGAGTCAAGGGGGTAAGGTAAAGGGTTGGGGTGATGGTAGCGTAGTCAAGGGGTAAGGTAAAGAGTCGGGTGAAGATAGCGGAGTCAAGGGGTAAGGTAAAGGGTCGGGGTGAAGGTAGCGGAGTCAAGGGGTAAGGTAAAGGGTCGGGGTGATGGTATCGTGAAGTCAAGGGGTAAGGTAAAGAGTCGGGTGAAGGTATCGCGGAGTCAAGGGGGTAAGGTAAAGGGTCGGGGTGAAGATAGCGGAGTCAAGGGGTAAGGTAAAGGGTCGGGGTGATGGTAGCGTGGAGTCAAGGTGTAAAGTAAAGGGTCGGGGTGATGGTAGTGTGGAGTCAAGGGGTAAGGTAAAGGGTCGGGGTGATGGTAGCGTGGAGTCAAGGGGTAAGGTAAAGGGTCGGGGTGATGGTAGCGGAGTCAAGGGGGTAAGGTAAAGGGTCAGGTGAAGATAGCGGAGTCAAGGGGTAAGGTGAAGGGTCGGGTGAAGGTATCGCGGAGTCAAGGGGGTAAGGTAAAGGGTCAGGGTGAAGATAGTGGAGTCAAGGGGTAAGGTAAAGGGTCGGGGTGATGGTAGTGTGGAGTCAAGGTGTAAGGTGAAGGGTCGAGGTGATGGTAGCGGAGTCAAGGTGTAAGGTAAAGGGTCGGGGTGATGGTAGCGGAGTCAAGGGGTAAGGTGAAGGGTCGAGGTGATGGTAGCGGAGTCAAGGTGTAAGGTAAAGGGTCGAGGTGATGGTAGCGGAGTCAAGAGGTAAGGTAAAGGGTCGGGGTGATGGTAGTGGAGTCAAGGGGTAAGGTAAAGGGTCGGGGTGATGGTAGTGGAGTCAAGGGGTAAGGTAAAGGGTCGGGGTGATGGTAGCGGAGTCAAGGGGTAAGGTAAAGGGTCGGGGTGAAGATAGCGGAGTCAAGGGGTAAGGTAAAGGGTCGGGGTGAAGGTAGCGGAGTCAAGGTGTAAGGTAAAGAGTCGGGGTGAAGATAGCGGAGTCAAGGGGTAAGGGTCGGGGTGAAGATAGCGGAGTCAAGGGGTAAGGTAAAGGGTCAGGGTGAAGATAGCTGAGTCAAGGTGTAAGGTAAAGGGTCAGGGTGAAGGTAGCGGAGTCAAGGGGTAAGGTAAAGGGTCGGGGTGAAGATAGCAGAGTCAAGGGGGTAAGGTAAAGAGTCGGGTGTAGGTAGCGGAGTCAAGGGGTAAGGTAAAGGGTCGGGTGATGGTATTGGAGTCAAGGGGTAAGGTAAAGGGTCAGGGTGAAGGTAGCGGAGTCAAGGGGTAAGGTAAAAGGTCGGGTGAAGGTATCGCGGAGTCAAGGTGTAAGGTGAAGGGTTGGGTGAAGATAGCGGAGTCAAGGGGTAAAGTAAAGGGTTGGGTGATGGTATCGTGGAGTCAAGGGGGTAAGGTAAAGGGTCGGGTGATGGTAGCGGAGTCAAGGGGTAAGGTAAAGGGTCGGGGTGATGGTAGCGGAGTCAAGGGGTAAGATGAAAGGTCAGGTGATGGTATCGTGAAGTCAAAGGGGTAAGGTAAAGGGTCGGGGTGAAGATAGCAGAGTCAAGGTGTAAGGTAAAGGGTCGGGTGAAGATAGCGGAGTCAAGGGGTAAAGTAAAGGGTCGGGGTGATGGTAGCGGAGTCAAGGGGTAAGGTGAAAGGTCAGGGTGATGGTATCGTGAAGTCAAAGGGGTAAGGTAAAGGGTCGGGGTGAAGATAGCGGAGTCAAGGGGTAAAGTAAAGGGTCAGGGTGATGGTAGCGGAGTCAAGGTGTAAGGTAAAGGGTCGGGGTGATGGTAGCGGAGTCAAGGTGTAAGGTAAAGGGTCGGGGTGAAGGTAGCGGAGTCAAGGGGTAAGGTAAAGAGTCGGGTGATGGTAGCGGAGTCGAGGTGTAAGGTGAAGGGTCGGGGTGATGGTAGCGGAGTCAAGGGGGTAAGGTAAAGGGTCGGGGTGATGGTAGCGTGGAGTCAAGGGGTAAGGTAAAGGGTCGGGTGATGGTATCATGAAGTCAAAGGGGTAAGGTAAAGGGTCGGGGTGATGGTATCGTGAAGTCAAGGGGTAAGGTAAAGGGTCGGGGTGAAGATATCACGGTGTCAAGGCGTAAGGTAAAGGGTCAGGGTGATAGTAGCGGAGTCAAGGGGTAAAGGGTCGGGTGATGGTAGGGCGGAGTCAAGGGGTAAGGTAAAGGGTCGGGGTGATGGTATCGTGAAGTCGAGGGGTAAGGTAAAGGGTCGGGGTGATGGTAGCGGAGTCAAGGGGTAAGGTAAAGGGTCGGGGTGAAGGTAGCGGAGTCAAGGGGTAAGGTAAAGGGTCGGGGTGATGGTATCGTGGAGTCAAGGGGTAAGGGTCGGGGTGAAGGTAGCGGAGTCAACGTGTAAGGTAAAGGGTCAGGTGATGGTAGCGGAGTCAAGGGGTAAGGTAAAGGGTCGGGGTGAAGGTAGCGGAGTCAAGGTGTAAGGTAAAGGGTCGGGGTGATGGTATCGTGAAGTCAAGGTGTAAGGTAAAGCGTCGGGGTGAAGGTAGCGTGGAGTCAAGGGGTAAGGTAAAGGGTCGGGGTGATGGTAGCGGAGTCAAGGGGTAAGGTAAAGGGTCGGGTGAAGGTAGCGGAGTCAAGGGGTAAGGTAAAGGGTCGGGGTGATGGTAGTGGAGTCAAGGGGTAAGGTAAAGGGTCGGGGTGATGGTAGTGGAGTCAAGGGGTAACGTAAAGGGTCGGGTGAAGGTAGCGGAGTCAAGGGGTAAGGTGAAGGGTCGGGGTGATGGTAGTGCAGTCAAGGGGTAAGGTAAAGGGTCGTGGTGAAGATAGCGGAGTCAAGGGGGTAAGGTAAAGGGTCAGGGTGAAGGTAGCGGAGTCAAGGGGTAAGGTAAAGAGTCGGGTGAAGATAGCGGAGTCAAGGGGGTATGGTAAAGGGTCAGGGTGAAGGTATCGCGGAGTCAAGGTGTAAGGTAAAGGGTCGGGTGAAGATAGCGGAGTCAAGGGGGTAAGGTAAAGGGTCGGGGTGATGGTAGCGGAGTCAAGGGGTAAGGTAAAGAGTCGGGTGATGGTAGCGGAGTCGAGGTGTAAGGTGAAGGGTCAGGGTGAAGGTATCGCGGAGTCAAGGTGTAAGGTGAAGGGTCGGGGTGATGGTAGGGCGGAGTCTTACCCGGTGAGTACAGGGGTAGTCCCCGACTTGCGATGGAGATGCGTTACGACTGCCCTAGCCTTACCCAGGAGTTCATATTCTTATCTCTTTCGGTAAAGTCACGTTGAAGGGAAACAATAAAGTAATAAAATATATATTAAACAATAAATCCCATTTTACCGGGTTAAAGGGTCAAGGTGTCGACATGCCTAGGGGTAAGGTTTTAAATATATATATATTTTATTATTTTATTGTTTACCCTTTAACGTGACTTTACCGAAAGAGCTAAGAATATGAATTACTGCAGTCACGACAGCTTTAAATCAAAATCTACCCAGGAGTCTTAAAGAATGGTGATAATTTAGCAGAACGGAGGAAAATTTACAGTACCGTACTGTATACACTATGCACCGTGTGCATTTATTAATTGCAATAGTGTATTGCACGGTAAAATTTCAAGTGAAGAAATACCGGGGTTAATTCTTAGCCTACCCACGTGAACTGCAATTTCATAGGGAGGTTTTTTTCAGGAAACAATCCTATCTGCTATT